AATAAATAAAGAAGCTTCACCTTTGGCCTATACGAACCCACCACGTGTCTTATGGGCTCCACATCAACGTGCCGGCAACGTATTACAAGTTTACAACCAAGGGTCCATCCCTCATAGGTCCTTCCCCGAAGAAACTCCCTCACCGAATCGTACATTAGAGACATTCCACACTTTCTAGTTTCTACCCTTCAATCTCTCTCTAAACCATCATCACCACCATCATCAGCATCGGCGTCAGTTTTCTCTCTCCTCAATCCGCGCCGAGTTGATAGCATCTGTTAGCCCTAATTCACCGAAATTCGATTGTGGTTCGCAGATCGCTATAATCAAAACACCGCGTTCTCTTGCTTTCTCAAGGATTTCTGTTTGATTTTCTCGGGAAAGTTAGGGTTATTGTCGGGAGCGATAATAGCAGTATGAGCTTTCAGGATATCGAAGCCGGCCGGCCTTTCGCTCCGAGGCGAGACCTAATCAATGGCAAGCAAGACCCTACACAGGCCGTGGCGTCCGGTGTATTTCAGATCAACACAGCCGTGTCAACGTTTCAGAGGCTCGTCAACACCCTTGGAACCCCGAAAGACACGCCCGAGCTTCGCGAGAAGCTGTAAGTGCGTCCGTTTGTGTAATTCGATTATTTTCATGATTCTGGAATATATGATTTGCTTGTTTATGTTGAAACGATGGGCTATTGTTGTTTACGTTGATTAAATGGTCTGTTGCTTCTTTCTTACCAGTACAATGGATTGAGTTTTGTTGCTAATTTTAAACTACGCCGTATAATGTTTATATATACTGCTAGTATAATTTGAATGATGAATTTATTAGGATGTTCTTGATAGCTCTACTCTGGTTAGGTGCCCTCTTGGATTTTGTCGAAAATCAGGAATTATTGAAATTTCAGGTTTCATGTCTCCCTGTTACTGCTTTAAGGATGTCAGATCCTCTAGCTACTGAATGATTAGAAGTACAACTCTATACTGTAGTATGTCAATCTCGTTGTTTATCATCTCACAATGAATAACATTCTGCCTCCACTTCTCATGGATACTCCTATTTTGGCCACAGTCCTATTGCTATCTTCCCTCGCTGTTCTTTATTTGAGATTAAGCTACAGTGTGTTATATATTTATGACAACACTTTTATCAAGACACATTATGCAATTGAACTAATCATATTTTCCTTTCTATTTATGGTTAGATTTATGAGTTGAGAGTAGTCGAGGTGATAGACAATGTCAAGGTTGTTGGTAAATTGGACATTAATAAATTCTAGTCAAGTTGTTGTCTTCTTTTTGATGAAGTTGATGCCTAGTGATATATTCTAGTCAAGTTGATGTCTTCTGATCATTATCTGTAACAGCAATCTTGGGCGATCTTTTTCTTTCACTGTTTTTCTGACTGCTCTCAACTTTCAGGCACAAAACAAGACTACATATTGGGCAATTGGTGAAGGACACATCAGCTAAACTTAAGCAAGCTAGTGAAATAGATCACCATGGTGAAGTTAATGTAAGTTTAAACCTTTTTCGTATATTGGCTTCTTATTCATATCTAAAAGCACATTTTGATGGCGTGTAACAAGTTAGTATGAGGACTAAGGAGCATACACATGCTAGTCATATTCTAAAATGTGTGAATATATGAAAAGAAAGCTATGCTGTTCTTATTAAGATTCTTCCTGAAACTTTTACATTAAGTGATCTAAGTTCAACAATAGAGTTCATCTTATCTTTTTAACCAACATTATAAATGTTTTCTGTATTTCATTTTTAGGGTGACACAAACTTCAATTCCTTTGTCATGATTGCAGGCAAGCAAGAAGATAGCGGATGCCAAACTTGCAAAAGACTTTCAGGCAGTATTGAAAGAGTTTCAGAAGGCCCAACGGCTTGCAGCTGAGAGGGAAACAGCTTACACTCCTTTCGTTCCACAAGCAGTTCTTCCCTCAAGGTGACTTATTTCGATGCAACTTTATTGAGTTAATTGATTTGAGGAAGAGAAGAACAGACTACCTTGAGAAAATTACAGCTTTAGTCTGTACTTCCCTTTTTCTGAGCTTTTCTGTTGACAGTCAATTTTCTGTCATTATTCATTAGTACTTATTGCCTCTGCATGTATTGCTTATGAAGTTTTGTATTGCAGCTATACAGCTAGTGAGATAGATGTCTCCAGTAAGAGCCAAGAACAGCGGGCTCTTCTTGTTGAATCCAGAAGGTGACTTTTCATGTTTTAATGATAGTAACTTAAGAGATCTGCTAGCAACTTAATGATAATGATCGCTACCTGATTTACTGATTTATTTTCATGAAACTATGGTGCCTTTTCTTCTTTTCAAGTAAGAACCAATGAAGTTTTCAACGATTTATTTAGCAATATAGTTTATGTGACAAACAGTTCTGAAATATAGATGAAATATTACTCATCATTGTTCAAGCTTTAAAAGGCTGAAGAAGAAATAATACCAAGATCTGGTAGGTAATGGCTGAATCCTTTCGTGGATCTTTTTCATTCTGATAGAAATTTAAGTATTTAACTCAGATTTATATTGTCAAAAGGCCATTTCCAATTTCATCCTCTCGCATATTTTACTTTAATGGCACCTTAACTCTTGCATATTTCATGCTGCAGGCAGGAGGTCTTGATGTTGGATAATGAGATTGTATTTAATGAGGCTATCATTGAGGAAAGGGAGCAAGGCATTCAAGAAATCCAGCAGCAAATTGGCGAAGTAAATGAGATCTTCAAAGATCTTGCTGTGCTTGTTCATGAGCAAGGAACCATGATTGGTAACTCCGATTATTCTCAATATTATTGGCTGACTTACATGCATTATTCATTCTTTTTCTTTTTGGGGTGTGATACACCCATTCTTCTATACGAAACAATGTGTTTGGAATGGTTCATGTTATATGATGCTAATTTCTGTCTTGTAGATGATATTGGCTCCAACATTGAGAACTCACATGCAGCAACTGCGCAAGCAAAATCTCATCTGGTGAAAGCTGCAAAGACCCAAAGATCGAATTCATCTCTGGTAATTTATTTGTTTTCTTAATTTGTTTAGGCTGTTATTAATTAATCTCTTTCCCTGCTCCTCAATTAATTCTCTATTGTCCCATAACGTCTTGTCTTATGCAAAGTTGAACCAACATAAGCAACCTTAGTAGCATCTGCTATTTTTGTCTCGTTGCATGATTCACAGCCATTGCCTTTTGCTTTTGGGGGTTGAGAGGTGATGGGTTGGTTTGCATGGCAGTTACTTACAGTCCACTTATGTTTACCGGAGAAATTGTAGATTATCTACCAGTTTAGATCTTTTCACTGCTCTTTTTCATCGTTATGTTCAGCTTTAAGTATTTTCTTCTTTAGGCTCACTTCCTTTTGTTTTTCCTAGACTTGCTTACTCTTGGTGATCTTTGGAATTGTGCTTCTCATCGTGATCATTGTCCTTGCGGCTTAGTCAAAGGTGTCTATATAATGGATCAAACTCAACATTTAAGGGGCGGCAGATGACCTCTCGCTCGCTGATTTCACTGAGTAATGTTTCATCAGATCTCACGGTTAGCTGGAGCTTGTGGCATGTGTTGTCAGTACATGATGTGGGATTCACACGAGTGAAAAATGATTTTGTGTGTGGGGTGCTTGCTCTCTTCTCTAAGTTGGTGTTTGGGTTTTAAGGATGTGTCACAACTTGATTGTTGTCTAACGATTCACTTATATATTTTAATAAAAGAAATTGCATTCTTTAGATGTGCTTACGCCCATTAATGCACCAGGAACATTGGCCATGCTGACTCTTTACCTAAAAACCTTTTCTTGGTGGTTCTTGATTGGGCCTACGGTTGTGCACCGAAGAATGAATGTATTCAATGAGCTCAGTTGGTAATTGACGTTTATCCCCTGATTGGTTGGATTGGAGGGGAGGGGAGATTTTAATGAGTTAGATTTGAAAGAAATTGATAAATGTGGCTATAAAATTTTAACAAAAAGATGTTAGATAAAAGAGCAAGAAAAATACTGGAAGCTTTTAACTCCACTTATCCAATTTTTGTAAGTTGAATTCTTTATAATATCTCCTCCCTCCCTCCAACTAAACACTATTAGTGATTGCTTCTTTGCCGTAGGATCTCGTTGTTCTATTTCATTTAAAATTTCCGATGGGTGCTTCAAAAATTTTCATTTTTGTAGCAAATCCGAAAGAGAGATTTAAACAGATGATGCCCATTCTTGGTGGGGGGGTCAATCATATAGCCTAAACAAAATAATGAATATGGCTTTGGTCTTGAGACCCGCCGAGTGCAATGTATGTGGCAAATTTACATACTTCTTAATGTACTTGCTTTGAGGAAATTCAAAATTGGCACCCATTTTCGAATATTTGCCCTCACCGCCGCTGTAATTTTGAACTTCATTAGCCTTTTTTTTTTTTTCCTAAAAAAAATTTCTTTCACAATTTTGCACTCATAGTTTATGCCCTCACTCGCCCAATCAACTAACAAATAAAGCAGGAGCGCAGGTGATCAGAAAACAGGTTAGGACGGAAGAAATGACTGACTGTTTTGAGAGCCATGAGACGATGAGAGCACTAATAACTGTTTGTGATGACACAGATAGGGGTGGGCAGGGGATGCTTAGAGTTTATCACCAATTGTAGCTAGTTATGAAGAGGAAGTCAAAGTGTTCCTTTGTAGCCGCTTCTTGTTATTTGATTTCTGTAACACAGCTCGCCATCACGAGTAATTTATACTAATGTAACTCCACCAAATATATTACATGTATCATTCGATCCATCCACTCTCTTTTTTGAAGATAAAATATTAAACTGAAGATAAAACCAATGCCGGGGAAAAGCTTCGATGGTAATAAGAAACAAAGATATGCCCTAATAATGACATCTTAAGACCACCGTGATTCCACTGCTAATCCAACACAAAGTCTAAGGAAAAATAAATAACCAGATTTGATTAGATTAGGGCCTCATATACAAACTAGATACAGGATTTGCAAAGGAAAAGCATCAGCTTTCAAGGTGGGCAAGTGGAGATGGAATTATGTCATACACATGACTGATGTATTGTTTGGAAGAGGATTTACTATAGTCGACATGAAAGATTAATCTACAATCTACATTCCTAATAAAGACAATCAACCTGCTCTTGGATCAGAAGAAAGAAGACCCATCTGCTCTGTAAGTTGGCTCATGTGTTCAGCTTTGTCCCAACCGTCTTCCATTGGCTGCACCTCATTGGACACTGCTTCAGCAGCAATGATCTCAATATCCTCAGTAATGGACTTTGCAAAAGAAAATCATCCCAAAGGAAGGATTGCGTAACAAATCATCAATGTCTGCATCAGGAGAAATGCTACCAACATCAGGGGTCAATGACTCATTCAGTCCAATGAAGTAGGATCTGAATTGTCCATCGCAGATCTGACATAATTTTCTTCAAGAACATTTTCTGTCACCATCTCTGGTATGGGCGAAAGCTCAGGTATTATGACGCCTACCTGAGAAGCAGAGAGAGCAGCAGTGCAGTTTTTGTAGATGGGATTTCAGATTTGTCAGCTAAGGGCCCTGAAGCTCCTGATGCAGCTGGAATGTGAGAAGACTGCACAGAAGTTGGTTGGACCTCTTGGAGTGTAACTCCAGAAGTCCAGCTTGAAGAGCTACTGCTGTCCATTGCACTGGATGATGATGATCCATCCCCAATCAAGTAGTTATCAAGGTTGTTATTAAAAGATTCCAGCTGTGAACCATCCAATTTCATTATCTTCGTTAGCATTGCTTTTGCCGCTTCATTCATAAGAGGTTGATACTTAACAATTTGTCCATCAGGAGAAGGAGTAGAGTACACTCTGTTTCAGCAATACCTTCCTGCTTAAGCCGCCGTTTTTTGTTGGCTTCAGTTATGCGTCTATTGCTCTCGTTTGCTGTTGCACAAACTGAGCAAAAAAGCCAGGGCTCTGTACAGCCTTGGCAAGGAATGACATCATTTGCTGTTGTCGTTGTTCCATTCCTTGAAGGCGCTGAACCATTGTCTGCAGCCGGTTATCAGTGGTCTGTTTGCTGCTGCCTCAACCTCACAAGCTCCTGCATGAGCACATTCTTATCTCTTTTAAGCCTCTCAACCTCTTCTTCAAGTCCAAACTTCCCCACTTCTACACATGCCCCTACTGAAGAACTATGTCCTTGTGACTGCTGTACTTGTTGATTATTATGGCCATGGGCAGGTTTTCGTCGAGTAATACTCTTAAGCAAGTGCTTCTGACCCCTTAAAAAGCCCTCATTTGCAAATTCCCATCGATCTGGATCCACCTTTCGAAAACCCTATTTAAGATCATGAGGTTTAATACATCAAATTGTACCAACAATATAATAGGCATGCGTGGCAAATACAATCACTTGCAATGCAAATATTCAAATCGCACAAATGCTATAGTAGGCATCCTTGGCCAAACTTAAACTTGAAATGTAGAACAAAGATTAACACAAATGGGTCTGGCAAAACAATAAAATAACTCGGGAAGATCTAAAATCTATTCATTTCATGGGCCTATGGACCAGCTTCAAAAGAGAGACTCTCCAATCAATTATAAAATGCTACTTCTGATATTAGTCGAGCTGAAAATATCAATAATGAAACACAAATGTTAATATATCAGATATTTTCAATCATTCTGCAAGAAGTTAAATCTACATGGGACCATTTCCATGCAGAAAATTACCTATCTTAGTTTCTATAGTAAGAATGTCTACATTAAGTGGATGCTGCAAAATCAGGAATTATCTTCCGAAAAAAAAAGGCAATTGAACTAATAAATAAATTGGGTTTCTATTCAAAAGAGAATTCACCAAATATGCAGTAGAAAGAGCACCATATAGATGTTCGAGTACTAAAATAACAAAACCGCTTGCAACAACCTCGTATTGATCACAGAAAAGACACAGACTCAATGCAACCTGAGATACCAGGATTCAGTACTTGCTTATGCCAAATTCACTATGAGAGGCTCCAAAACAAAAGCAAAATGCTATTAATTATCCCAATTGCAAGGAAAAAATTCAGGTGACATTAACATCAGAAAAGCATAACAGCTGCATGAAAGGCAGCTCTGTTGCCTTTAGGCAGTTATTCTATTCACCAAAATGAGTATCCTTGGGTAGTAAAGTAAATTATTATCCATTTCACAACATGGATAGCAAATTGGATCACCCTCTTCTATGGAATCAATGATCACTAAAGTCCCATATTATATCTAGCAAAGCCCAAGCCTTGTGTGCTCACTACCCAAAAATAGAACAACTAAATAATATTTCTTGCAAAAAAATTGTGAAACTTACATAATACTCATCCTGGGGAGAGCAAAACTACAATAATTCACAAGGAGAATAATTAACTAAAACTTTTCAATTCTTCCTGTCACTGGGACATTCTCCTCAATAGGCGATTTAATAAGAGCCAACGCCAGGTTTAAAAAGCATATCAACAAACTCACCATGTAAGGTAATTTCATTATATTCCCAGCGATCCCAAATTTTCTAACTTCATTTGGGCTCTTATGGCAGCTTTAATAGCCCGTTATCATATAATACACGAATAAAATAGAAACCAAGTGACTGATAAACCTGAGAATTGATTTCTTTTTCAATTTCCCCCTTTTACTCCATTTATTTGCTGACTAAATGCTGGAGGAATAGATATCAAACTTAGATTTTTTTATAGGCCAACTATTCTTCTGATACATAGAAGCAAATTACGCCTCTTGGTCCAGCTTTTGGCTCAGTTGAAAAGCTGAAGAGATGCCAAAGTCATATCGACATCTATGTCCCTTATTTGAAAAGGAACCAGGATGGTAGATTGCGGCCAAAGAAACAAGGCAGAAAGAAAAGATCGCCCTTTCTCCTCAGTATTATAGCACACAGACTGCTAGTTAGAATCTTATTTTGTTGCCACAGGTGGGCCCAAACAATTTTAGACTGCAATTCAAATTCACTGCCAAACTGATTTAAGGATAATTTTTAACCAAATCAACTCTAAAGCATTCAAACCAAAATACTGTACCCTGATAAAGTACAGTCTATCTCATGAAAAACACTAACAACAATTTAAACTCAACATAAAAATAATGGTGCAAGGAATCTTAAAATGGTTGCAAGAGAAAGAAAGACATACATAAGTGTTCAGCTGCCTCACAAAGCTGGAGAAATTATTGTGCTTGAAGTACTTAGGCAAGAGATCTCTGGCAAACTCTGGAGGGTTCCAAACCACAAAGCTATTGTTGGTTGGGCTCCAAGACACGATCGCATCAGAGGCCGGGTCATCCACCATGTCATACGTCTTACTAAGGAACGGTGGTGGAGCGTTCACAGTAGA